CAAAAGAGTGGTTTGACTGAAAAGGATGAAAGATATTTTTTTGTGATTATGTGATTATCACTGTTTGATTTAAGGTCTGATTGAACTCAGAGGAGGAGCTCCACTGCTCAACATGCTGCCTGACGTGTCTGAGTGGCCCATAGCCGTGGACAACTGGGAGGGAACCTATGGTACAGGGCATATTGTTCACATTCTCCCATAGGGTGATGACTTTTATGACATTTCTTTCTTTTTTAATCTTCTTCATCTTATTTCTTCAGGGAAAACCTGGAGATTGGAGGATGTAATTGCTAGGTTAAATGAGAAGTACGGCACTCTACTCTTGGTTAACTTTTTTGTTGGCACTGATGATAGGGACTCAAACTCACATATCATTCATGTAAGTGGAAAAAACCCTTGTCTCCAATTACAGCTATATGTGTCTCATATAACCTGTCAGAGCACATAATTATTATTATTTTTTTCATCCATGGTTTTGCAGTTTGATCAGCAAACGAGCCTTGGTCTCTTGTCCAGAGATTACTACGCCTGCAATGGTCCCTATGCAGAGGTGTGCTTAAGTTTCCCATACTTACACACAGGAATGTAATATGATTGTTGTACGGCAAAAGCAGTTCCTTGTGTTTATTTGGGTTAGTGCCACTCAGTCTGGTTCCAAGTCCCCTGGAGTTTGTTTCTAGAAACATAATGCATGACAAATGAGGTCATCAGCTGTAACATCAGTTCAATAATGATTTAACTTTCTGTTTGTTTGAACACATTGTACACACTCATAAGCAAGTGTGTGTGTGCCGGAATAAAACACTACCGGAGGCAGCAAATGCTGATTAAAATCCAAAAGGAAACTGAAAATTTGGTTCCGTCCCAATCCGTACCAGATGTTGTGTGATTGAACCAGACATCCTCTGCGCTGGTTTTACTTCACAGTTCATTATCTAGTCTTGATTGATATGCAGTACTTGCAGTAAATAACATTTGTTTGAGACTGAGTATATATGTGCATGATGTTACCTCTAATTTTGTTTATGCAAGTATCAGTAACAGATATGTTTTACAGGCATGTCGGGCCTACGAGCAGTTCATGATTGACCTGGCCAAGCTGATTCGTTCTGACCGGGGGTTGACCATTAATGAAACCAGCATTAGAGAAGAAGTGGCACGAGTATTGGACTTAGAGCGGGACATTGCAAATGTAAGGATACTTACAGAGATGACATGGGAATGATAATTATTTACCCTTTTGACACTGTATTTTCATCGAAAAAATGTTTTAATAATGGTCATTGAGCAGCAACATATGGTAAAGACAAAAAGAGAATTATGCTGAAATATTTAGCTGATATTTAAAGTAAAAAAGTTAAATACTTTGAGAACCAGGATCACACTGCAAGGTATCGAGTTTGATCAGATAACTTTATTGTTTACACGTTAGTTCAGGAGTTCTAAAGTCCTTTTATGTTCATAATGAACTGTGTTAAATGGTCACACACTACTAAATACCAGTTTAACCGACCTGGTCCCAAAGTCTTTCTTTCCAGGTCTTTGGACTGGACATAGTAATTGAGTACCATTAATTACACTGCACTGTTATCTTAGTTTAGTTCAGTTTTTTAATTTGCGGTCAAACCAGAACAAAATGCATCTCAAGGTATCTTAAAACCTACAATTTGGTCTGACGTTCAACATTCATCTCATTTATGGAACTTCTGCTTAAATGATATTGTGTGAGCAAATCTTTTTAACAATACCAGCAGGTACGTTAATTAAAATAAATCTGAATTATTTATTTTAAAAAGCTAGTGTGGCTGTGAAGGGTCGCACTATTCATGTATCTGTGTTTGCTTTCATACAATGAGCGCTTAAAACCTTGGAACCACCGTTGGCCGGAGCTCAGTAAAAAAAAACAGACAGCTTTCATGCTCTCAATCATTTCTCTGTCCTCAAACAAAACCATTCATGGTTCTTCAGGAAGCAGAAAGAGTGACACCTTGCTTTCCAGGGACAGAGCAAATGCTTTATTTTGCTTTTCACTGTCACCCAGCCATATATTTTTTTGTTTGATTGTTTTTTTTGTTTTTTTTTTGCATGAGCTTCTTGTCACCAACATGTAGTCCAGACTTTTCTCCTGTCAGCATGTATGAAAAAATAAAAGCTATTGTACTCGTCTGATTCTAACATGACTTTTCGAAGACATCAACAGTTTTTAGCTCTCTGGTTTTGTCATTCTTGGCTGGTCTCTGCTCTGCTCTGCTCTCTGACATGCTTCACATCCACTCCACTTGGCTGTTTGAGCCCTGACATTTACAGACCTCTGGGATATTGAACATGTCTGATGCTTCTGAGCTGCAGTAAAAGTGTGCATGTATCCGAAACAACAGGGTTGTGATTGCATTTGCGATTCCTTAGTCTCCCTGTCTTTTCTCTTGCCAAGGCCACTGATACTCCAGAGGATCGAAACAATCCAGTGTTGCTTTACAATAAAATGGAACTGGGAGACCTAAACAGCAACTTTACCCTTGAGGTTGATTCAAAGGTAAAAATAAAAAACAACTTTCAATTCTTTATTTAAACTTGTGGCCTCTATTAATTTTTTGTCTCTCCAATGTTCTTTTCTGCTCCTTTTGTGTTTTTTTCTCAACCTGTAGGTATTCAATTGGAGTTACTTCACAGCCAAGATAATGGATACTGTCAACATTAGCATTCCTGACACAGAAAAAATCATAAACTACTCTCCCAACTATTACAGAAGACTAAACCTTGTCTTGGCTAAATATACCAAGAGGTACATGTATTCAATGTAATCTCTATGTGTAGTTGTGTGCATGTGTTTTAAGGTGGGCAATTTATGTATATCCATAATACATCGTGGTTTAATATGAGGAGGGAAACATGTTTCACCATACATTTTCTCCCCACAGGGATCTACAGAACTACATGGTGTGGCGTTTTGCCATGAACATGGTGGTGGGATTGAGCAGAACTTACAGAGACACCAGGAAAGCTTTACGCAAGGTACACGACCAGTACCCTGGTACTCAATACTTTGAGATTTGGATGTTGATATAAAGGATGGAATATTATAATTTGGGACATATTTTACAAGGATGTTCACTTTGACCAAAACAATTAAGTTTGACTAAATTTAGATGCGTGGAAATGAGTCAACTGTGACTCCCATGCCCTTTTCAAAAAGCCCATGGTGGCAACTTAATTCTCTTCAACAATGATGAATTCTGCCTGCCGACCCTTTCCTGCTGCATGCGTTGCTTTGTTGTTTTCTCTCAGCTACTTTGTTCAGTGTGGAAAATACTGATGATCCCAGACTAAACAATAGCAGATGAGTCTTAGTCATGTCTGTTTCCAGCAGAGATTGTCATCATTTATGTATTTGTTTTTTCCCTGCTTGAGAAATGTGTCCTGTGGTGTGACAATACGTTTAAAAACTGGGCTGAGTGTTACAGTCAATACAAGTTAGTTGGAACCCTGTCGGTAACAACATTATGCTTAAAAGAGGATTTGGATTTAGTTGCTGAGCCAGCGTCTTATCACCATGGCTGAGTGCTGAGAGGAGCGAGCTAATTTTAGATGAATGAGCTGACAAAGTTGCACGTTAATGAATTGGTTTAACATTTTCATAACAGTTCAGTAAGATTTAGGCTTTGTCTGGAGTCCAATGGTTCAATTAAGCAGATCCTAGCTTTTGTTTTGGTATAGTTCCAGTAAGTTATAAAATTTACACTAGATAGCATGTTTCTCCTATTCAGATCCCAGTTAAGAGCTTCAGACCAACGGTTGGTCCCATATTTAGGACTGGGAGTTACAGTATGTACTCTCTGCATTTCTGTGTTATCTGTTGAGAAATGGGTACTGTCTAACATTGCTTGACCATTTTTTAAAATTTTGGCAGAGCTGGTGTATCACTGAATTAGTAAAAACAATGACTAAATACAGCTGTTTCCAGATATTTAAATGTGACTGAATCTGTTCATCAATCAGTATCTTTCAAGCTGTGTGAAATCTGTGTGTATGAAACAAACACTACAGTCATATTACCTTAATTGTCTAAATCTTTTCCATCATCTTCTGAACCCTTTCCCCTTTGCTTTCCCAATTTTTGAAAGCCGGAGTGTAACTGAAATGTATAACATTGGGTGTAAAGAACTACCTTGTGGTAGCCTATTTAACCAATTTGCTGACTTGTTCATCCTTCATCTCTGATTGATCTTTGTCTTGTTGATTTCCCTGCAGGCTCTGTCTGGCACGACGTCAGAGGCAGCCGTGTGGCGACAGTGCGCGCTTTACGTCAACAACAACATGGACAATGCTGTAGGACGGCTGTATGTGCAGGAGGCTTTCTCTGAAAAGAGTAAAGAACTGGTTAGTAGAAGTGGAATTCAACTTTACTCCCTTTTACGGGTGTAGATATGACTGAAAGTTGAAAGCTGATACCAGCGCTTGTGTCAAAGTAGCATATCTGCAAAAATTGAATGCCTGGCTCTCTTTTTCCTTTTAATTTAGGTTTTGAACTGATAACACTGAATTGTAACAGCAGGAAAGCAGGGAAGTGGTGTGGGTGATTATGTATTCATAAAGACAGTATGAAAGCATGTGTTTCAGGCTTATCTGACTAAATGTGTTTTTGTCACCTCTGTGTCTCATGTCTCTGCCTCAGTCCTGCATTTTCTGCTTGCATCCACTGAAAGCAGCTGAACAAGGTGTCCTTGTTATCATGCTCACACCACCCACACTGTAAATCTCCACTTTGTGCTCGTGAGTGTGTGGACGTGTGCAAGCGATTTGGCACGTGACTGCACAGGCGTCACATTGCTAGTGTGAGACAGAGTCCGTAATCCTAAGTGTCTCAGATACCATAAATGTCTGTCATCTTCTGAGTGTTTGCCTACTCTAGCATTTCATTCTCATATCCAACTCCCCTGCTGAATGTGCGTGCACTCGTGTGTGTGTTTGGTTGAGGGAAAAAACTACACGCAGCTGTTTTCAGCATGCAACTACAAATCATCACCCATGTCCTCAATTACATGGCCATGCAGAGTGTGTGTTGAAGGGAGCTGACCCACAGCTCTCACACATGCTTTAGTCCTCACAAGCCTTCATCACTCCACTACACAGGAACATTCCCTATGCTGAAATGAAGGTATATCCACTTGGACAGTCATCAGTGAATAAAACCACTGGGATCCAGAGGCGACTTTTTTCCAGCTGGCTTTGGTCGGGACTGGAGATTGAGCATTGAGTGTTCAATCAAATATAGGAATCAAATGAGCAAAAAAAACAAAAAACAAAAAAGGTTTTGTTTTTGGCATCCAAATCCATTCAATCTCATGCAGAAATGTAAGAGGATTATCAAATTCAAACAACTCGTCAAACCCAATGAGGTTTACTTTTAGGTTTTAGAATTCTTCTAACCCATTTTTAGATATAAGTGGTTACCGTTGACTGATTTATTTTTCGTAATGTGAATGTGGATTTGTATCTAGAGGGGGGTATCTAAAATAACACAATGATGTACTAATAATCCGTTGTCGTGTTTATTTTTGTTATTCTTGTGTAATTACGTTTTGTGATTTTCTTTGTGCTTTCAAGTTATGATTATTTAACCTGAATAGATGTTAAAAAAGACACTGTCTGTAGATATTACGATGAATTAATGCTAATTTTATTAAAATGGGACAGTAACCCAAGGTCAGCAGACTCCTATGCAGAGGATGTGTAACCCCGAGGTGCTCATTGATGTCCATATATAATGATGAAGCCTAATTCCAAAAACTGTTGTTATTGTTTTTTTCTTACTTTGAATAACAATCTGGAACAAGAATGTTTAGTATGCTTTGTATGGTTTTTGACCCCATCTGTAGGCAATGTGAGGCGAGCTGCCCACACTGCAGAAATAAACAAGCAGACAAACATTTTTTATCCATTTATGAGCTACATTTTATCATCAACCTTTTTGACCGTTGCTATATCTGTTTGTGTGTGTGGTTCTGTTCATGGAGATTAGATGGAAGAGATGATTAAAGACATTCGTGAGGTGTTCATTAGTAACCTTGATGATCTAACCTGGATGGATGCAGAGACCAAGAAAGCAGCAGAGGAAAAAGTAATGATTTAACTACAGCTATCCTCATATATATTTTCTTTTTCTTTAGGAGAACTGACAGCTAAGGTATTTTTCATCTATTTCTGTGCAGGCCCGAGCTATTCGTGAACGGATTGGCTACTCTGACAACATCATGGATGATAAATACCTCAACAATGAGTACAAAGACGTGAGTGTCTGGAAAAAAATGCAGCTATTTTTTTTTTCATCATTCGTTGAATGAATGTAAGAGAATACAAAGTAGCCTATGTGAACACCCCAATGATTTCTTTGTTTTTACGAAATTTGCTGGCAAACATATGACCAAGTGTTGATGGCTCTCATCACTGCTAATCCTCCTGATTCTCTGGCGGCGTGTTGGTGTTAGCTGAGCTACAGTGCAGAGGAGTACTTTGAAAACATCCTACAGAACTTGGAGTATGTGCAGAAGAAACGCCTGCGGAAACTCCGAGTCAAAGTCAACAAAGAAGAGTAAGAATTCCCACAGGAGGGTTAGAATTAACAGGCTTATTCCAGATGTGATGTGATTTCGAGCTGCAGTCTTAAATATTAATCGCACCGGTTAAAAATGACTTTTCATTTGTGATACTTATGGTGTAAACCACTGCAGTACGTACCTCGCTCTCAGCTAAGTATTCACTTTCTCCCACACAAACGCCCACTCACATATAGAGTTCGGCCTCATATGGCAAGGGAGCTAACACTGGTCTCGGGTATTAATAACTGCAGGTTAATTTGAATGTGTGTAATCAAAAAATGAAATTTGCCATGCCTGGGTGCTTCTTACTTTACCTCCGTACCATTCCTTCATCCACATTTGTCTCCAGGTGGGTGACTGGAGCTGCTGTTGTCAACGCCTTCTACTCATCCAGCAAAAATCAAATAGGTATTTAACGTGTGCTTTGACAAATATACCCATTCATAAAAGACAAAAGATGATGCAATTTCATTTTTTCTGTGCCGTCTTGCTGGCAGTTTTTCCAGCAGGTATCCTCCAGCCACCTTTTTTCAGCAAGGGTCAGGCTAAATCTCTCAACTATGGAGGCATTGGCATGGTAATCGGTCACGAGATTACACATGGCTTTGATGACAATGGTATGATTTTCCACTCTGTTGCTCTCCCTTCCTCTCGGGAACATTTTTGGCAGATTATATTAGTCTTTGAATAGAAGTATTTCCCCTGTAACTGGTACCAAGTCTGAAAAGAAAAGGACTTTTTTATTGAATTCATAAGTTGCCCCTCCAGGCATTTCTCAACACAAACATATCCATTGGGTCGTGTGAAGTCAGTATTTTCCACTTTAGAGGCATCAGTGTTCATTTGTACTGATATTCACTCCGAAACACACGGGAAATAGAAACATCCAATTAAGATCAGCTGTATTTGGGAGCTGGTGATAATGATGGTAAATGCTATGGCAAGCAGAAGTTTCACAACTCCACTGTGGACTTATTTAGTCTATGTCTTTTAGGGCGAAATTACGACAAGGACGGTGACCTAAAGGACTGGTGGACACCAGACTCTACTCAGAGATTCCTGGAGTTGTCAAAGTGCATTGTTGATCAGTACAGCAACTACTCTTGGGATCTGGCCAACGGATTACATGTATGTCACTGCAGACAGTCACACACATTAATCTTTCCTCAATATTCCTGGAGGATTTTATCACATTTTCAAAAAACGATTTCTTGAATATGCTCTTAAACCCTGCTTTATCGCATTTATGGATTTTCTAGCTACCTTCACCAGCTCATCCTTATGTAATTTCCTTCATTTTTGCAGCTCCATCTCCTCTCCTCTCCATTCCAGTCTTTGATTTTTTCAGTTGACATATGAATACTTTTCATTCTGTTTGTCTTTCCTCCTTTGTCTTTTTCTTTTGACCACTTCTACTTTAGTCTACTGGGAAACCATTTCTTATATCCAAAAAAGTGAAATCTGCCATTTGCTGAAACAGAGAGGAAAGTGAGTATCCTTTTTTCTTTTGTGTTTTCTCTCCTTTTATTCTGCCTCTAGTTAAATGGTAACAACACCCTCGGGGAGAACATCGCTGACAATGGAGGGATTCGGCAGGCATACCAGGTAAGGATTCCGAAAAAAAATAAGAAAGATGGTTCCTGGGTTACAGATTTGTTTCTGTCTTTGCTCTGTCATGTCTCTGCTAATAATTGACAAATAGCTCATGGTGTCAGATCACTGACAGTTTAATTTACCATTTGTGAGCACATTTCACCATCGTGTGGCTATTTCTTTTATATATATATATATAGAGAGAGAGAGAAAGAGAGAGAGAGTACTTTTAGTAAGAAGATTTCAAGTCAGATAAGGATGAATACATACGCATATAAATGCAGAATTTGGTTCATCGAACTTTAAGACTGTGTTTGTAAAGAGGAAGACATTGTATGAAGAGAAAAATACCTTGAGTGTGCTGGCCAGAACACAGTCCCCAAACAATTGGTTAATCTCCAATGACAATACATCTGTTTTCTTTTCTAAATGTTTCTGCAGTCAGAAAATAACCTATTCACAAAACTGGGAGTTTTGGCTCAGTTACCTGTTATTCAATATCTAAATATATGCTGGGTACATAAGAAGCCAGGAAATATTTGGCCTTTCTCCTTGTGGCATATTTATTAGGCCATGGTTGATGTTAGAATTATTGAACATGTAACATGCCTGTATTACGCCCGATTTCCAAATGTACCTTGGAAAGTTAATAAAATATATACTATGGTATATTTCATTAGAGATTAGATTACTGATGCAATCCACTTTTACTAATAGTTCTATCATGTATCTTTATGCAATATGGACTCCCTAAATGTCATAAGCTATTTTTTCTGAGTGTGTGTTTTTTCCCCTGGTGAATTTGAAAAGTAATACTATGCTTTTTTTGTAGGCCTACAAGAGCTATGTGAGGGAACATGGAGAGGAGCCAGCACTGCCTGGCATCGATCTTTCCCATGATCAACTTTTCTTTCTAAATTTTGCTCAGGTAATTATTGACTGATTGCACTGAGGATGTGGTTATTTGAGCTGGTAGGGAACAGTACCAATTTTCTCTATCAAGAAGACTAAGAAGACTAAAGAAAAGTGATCATTTGAGCTGCTTTTTTTGGAGTATGAGTTCATTTTCATTTATCCATCCATTTATTAAGGTTTTATTCAGATAATTCAGCATGTCAGTCTTTAACCCTGGAAAAATTTACCTCTGCACAATTCTCATTTCTCTGGCTCTGTAAGGAGAGTTGGATGACTAACTCTTGTTTTTGGGAGATAACAAGTGATTTTTGAGCCTTTTTAATTTGATTGCTTATTTTAATTTCTCCGGAGCATTTAACTACGGAAGCACATTGCATTCACAAAAAAAAAAAATTACACACATTTTCTCATAATTACGTGAAAAGATCTTGTGCTTATGAAATCGAGAGGTCTTGTAATTACGAGATAAAGTGTCTTTTTTTTTTGGTTTTTGTGAATGCAATGCGCTTCCGTACTTAAAAGCATAAAGTCCTTTTTGGAAATATTATCAAAAACATAGTCTCCTTTGATTGAAGTAAAATCATTCAATTGGAAAAAGGTCCCTGCTTCTTCATACTATTCAAATTATTGAATGACATATAAATAAATTGACTAATTTGATTAATAGATGGATGTGTAAAAGTATTGAGTTAGCTAAAATGATTTATGAGGCTGGAGCATTTGGCGGATGAACAAATATCTAAGTAGCAATGTAAATCTATCTATCTGTATTTTACAGGTGTGGTGTGGAACACACCGACCAGAGCAAGCTGTTAATTCCATCAAAGTGGACGTACACAGTCCAGGAAAATTCAGGTAAAGTCAATCCAGCAGTGCTTCCTCTGCTTCAGTCACCTCTGCGCTGCTGGCAAAGGGCAGGAAATAAATTACAGAGTTGAGCTAACATTTCAGAACACTGGTAAAATTACATGTCATACAAACTTCAATTTCTAGTCACTTTCCGGTAGCACAATTTCAACCCCAACCATCAATCTCCCCTGTATGTTTCACAGAGTACTGGGCTCCCTGCAGAATTTCCCGGAATTCGCCAAAGCATTTAACTGCAACAAAAGCAGCTACATGGTCCCCGATAACATGTGCCGTGTGTGGTGATCCAAAGGCCCCTGGAATGGCCACCCCTGTCCCTCCTACAGTTCCTTGACCCTATGATGGCTGGAGCACTCACTAAGGACTACAGGGAGGTGACAGCTTCCCTAAGCTTTTTACTGGATGGACCATGGCTGTTGGACTGACACTGCAGTTTACACTTCATCCAATAGCAGCAGCAGACTGCGTCCTCACATATGGATGGACAGACGAAAAACTGTCTCCAACTCTAATACTATCAGTCATTCTTTCAATCAGTCTAATTATTCTCCTGCTCACTGGATACAATCGCATCATGTGTTTTCATTTCTGTCAGTTTTCACCATGTCTCATTTCACATCTATGCCGGTATCTTTACTTGTGTATTTCAGTCAAAATTCAAGTAGTTGACTGAGGCCAGTAGATACATATGCTTAGTTCACTGGCATATGAATACCCCTACACACCCTTTTACACATATTGTACATCCAACAGGGCCACCGAATTCTATGTTGGATTTGAGCTGTTTGACTCATAAAACTCAGCTTTGTTCAGGATTCATTTACATGTAGTTACACTCTACAATGTATTTGTAATGTTTTCATGGTTTATACCTCTCTCTCTCTCTCTCTCTCTCTCTCTCTCTTTCTAAATATATATAAATATGTAGAAATATAAAGCTAGATTAGATAAATTATGACAGGAAATCAAAATTTATTTTATTAACTAGACTAGTAACTATTTAGTTGTGATCCCATATTATACAGCTCTGTCATATATAAATATATATATACGATTTAGAAATTGTTATTGCAGTTGACGGGGAAGGGTGGGTGTGTTCAGTAGAACAAGATAAAAAATGAAGCCTTTAATATGACAGTTGGTCATGAATCATTGAGATGACAATCTACAAACTCGAAGACCATATGTTTTCTTAATTTGCTGTGTTTCTCTGCGGGGAGGTCTTTCTGTTTTTATGTCATAAATCACTCCCTAATTTTGGTCAATCTAATTCACACGCCTTATGGTTGAGCTTGATTGAGAATGTGTGTGGATTACTGCAAGACAAAATGATTAGAAAACATGTCATTAAAGAAGACATTTTGCTATTCCCCATGCTTATTTACTTTGTTTTTAGAATGATGCTGCTACCATGTTTGCCTGTTAGCTAGTGAAGGGTTAGGCTAGTTTAGAATACACTGCAGGAGGAGCTCTTTTGTCTATCTCAGTGAGCTAAAAATGCCAAAAGACAAGAACTACAACATTGTCTCTCATGATGCAAAAACTAACCTTTGTGGGTTGATGTGTCAGGATGCCGCGTCACATGACATAGTCACTCGCTTTGACATCAACTCTTTGCAGAATTCATGAGTTGCCTGGAAACAGACCAGTTACAAGAACTTTAACCTTTGTTTTTATTTGAATATATCAAAAATTGAATTTTTCTGATCTTTGACTGATGAAAGGCAAACATTTTACTGTAAATTTTATCTACAGAAACTGAAATGACAGTGATAAGGCTCAACAATATTTAGTAGTTAGAAGAGCACGATGAACGCTCAAATTTTAGAAAACTCTTGTTCCCTATTCATTCATTGTGTATACTGCTTATTTGTTCGCTGGGGGGCTGGAGCCTATCCCAGCTGGCATTGGGCAAACCTGGAGAGATTGCCACTGTCGTTTACAGAAAAATCAAGTCATCTGACAACTGTCACAATGAAGCTTTTGAATGGATGTTTAATGTAATTTTCAACCCAGAAGATTGATTCAATTTAATGGGTTCCAATTCACCAATTAATTTGCTTTATTTTTCATGTTAACTGAGGCTGTGTTTCTAGATTGTAATTGTGGAAATAAATGACATTGCCTTTTATATAAATATTAGTGCAATGAATGGTAATCTTAGACCACCGAGGCCACTTCTTTGTACTTGACACAATGCATTCATGTCCGGTCTTTATTCTTTCTTCACCTGTTGCTTTGGTCTTTTGTGAAAGCTTTCAGTTTCTTGGTCACTAGTAATGGTGTCAGGCTGTCTTCTTTTTGTCAGTCTCACTCTTTCACTAAACTTGTAGAAAGACGGATATACCTCAGTTGCCTGTATTTGGATATTTTATAATGATTGATAATCATCTTGAGGAGCATTTTTTTCTTTTAAAAATAAACCTTTAAATAACATGCTAAGTCTTCTTGCATATTGCTTGTGGGTACACCAGGATGTGTTTTCACTCACTGAGGCGTCTAAATGTCAGGACTGAAACAACCATCTATCTCCATGATGTTTGATTTTCCTTTTTTTCTTAATTTGATGTTCAAAAATACTAATTGCAAAGCAGCAATACTAGAGCATTTTCTTTTGTTTTTTCTTAAGACTGAAGTCTGTGATGAAAAAATGTAAAAAAATGGATGGGTACTTTTAGTTTCCTTTCCACATTTATAATATTCTTCATTTAACCGGGGGTGTTAGGAACGTGGGATATTCACCCTAATTTGCAAATTTTCCCGAGGGAAGAACCTAATTGGAATGGATAATTAGCCCAAATCTATTCCCCCGAGAAGCATTTGGGGATTAGGTGTTAATTGTCAAATTGAAAGGTCATCACACGGTAAACATGCAACATGTGCGTGCATAGTTGCTCCCGCTGAGCTTAATGGTTAATATACTCAATGGTGCAATAAACCAGCAAGCAGATATTTTGTTACAGGAAATGTTTGAGTCCACTGAAACTGGAGAGCCAAAATACGGATGAACAGGAAATAATCCTGAAAGCGGTTCTGACTTACAATAGGCAGCCAGAGAGAGAGTCATTTCATGCAGGATGTAGAGGACAGAGATGCCAGCTAGAAGCACGCGAACAACAGCTAAACATTCAGGCCAAGTATTAAAACTATCCCACGGAATGGGGGAGTTCAGCAGGAGCTGGGGGCGGGCCCACTCTCCTTTGTATAAATATACTAAAGTGAAGCAGACGATTTATTGAACTTTATTTTGTTTATTTTTTCATTTTTCTGCAGATTTTTTTCAAGCCACATTGTATGCATTTCAATCATTTAGTGGTTTGAACCACACTGTAAAAATCAAAGGCGTCTAATGTGCATACATAACTTCCATCCAGGGATGCAGCCAATGGGATTTTTCAGGATTGGGGTGCATGCTGGAATCCATTGACTGTCACCAGTGCGCCAGAGTCAAATTGGTTGACTTGGAAAATCATCAGTGTAACACTTTTCCTAATGTTTTCACAATGTTCTTCCCTTCATTATCCTATTTTCTGCTTCCATTCATGTGTTGGAAAAGCTAAAGGGAACTGTGTGATTTGTTTCAAACACCTTTCAGTATCACTTCAACTCATTCAAGTGCTGTTTTCAGCTCTGTGTCCTTTACCACTGCTTATCGTCAAGCTTTCCCTCTTGCTTCCCCTGATTGGTAGGACTTTGGCAGACAACTGAAAGTTCACACCACCCACTTTCCTCGTGCTCTCGCCCTCCCTGTCATTAGCAGCTATGCTACTTTACCGTCGCAGCTAACATTACAACACCTCAGCATGTTCCTGGGAGGCTCAACAGAGTGTTTTGCAGTTGGAGCGCTGTAAACTGCTGAGGTTTTATCCCAAAGTGCAACCAAGGAGGGGTATTTTAAACCTGATAGTACCAAGAAACGTGACTTGATTTAAAATGTACTGCCTACATGACACATTGCAGGCACCTCTGCACTTAAAACCTTAAAGCATGATGACAGTTTGTAAAGTCAGCCGTGCCAGACATTTTTTTGTTTTTCCTCTCAACAAAGCTTCCCTCCGCTGCCCTCTGGTCGTAAAACGAGTCAGTTTTCCTTCGTGTGGCCTATGGGTGACCCTAACAGTGGGTCCAGTGGTATTTGTGTGTATGTGTGTGTCGTGGTGGTGTGGGGGGACGACAAGCAGCCACTGGAATGCATGTGTGTGTGTGGCAGTAGCTGGAAGTGTGTGAGGTCTGAAGCATAAAATATTCTATGTACATGTGTTCAGACATGCCACACACACAACTAAAAGAACACATGCTCACTTGCACACGTGTGCACAAACAATGACACGTGCAAATTTTGTCAAGATTAGAAGGGAGAATGTGTTTCAGGTAGGCATTGTGATTTAACAGATACTTACCAAATTACGCACTCTGGCTTGGCTGTCACTGAATACCACATTCTGACTTCAAAGAGTCTTTCAAAGTTTTTACAATTATAGTTTTTACCAACATTTACTTGGTATGAGTCAAATTTCATGAAAAATTAAAAGACTTTCTGATATCTGGCAGTTTAAACCTTTAGTGAGCCTCTCATTTCAATTCCAAAATATAAATGAACATTGAAAGACAGATGTAGAAAGTAAAAGACTTAAGGTCCTGAAACAAACCCTCTTAGCTAAGACGTGTGATTAAACTAATGCTTTGCACTGATGCTAAACGTCATTGTAACACCAGATCGTCAGAATGATGAAGTAGAACATTGATGTTAAAGCATTCAAAAAGCAGAAATTACTTTATTAACAACATAAAACAGTCCTCTGTGGTTATTCAATGCTTTTGTGCTTTTCTGCTGATCCTAATATGCTCAATTTACTTTGGACAAAAACACAAGATGCATGACATTTTAAAAATGAGATCCTTGGTTGGGTTTGTTTTCCAGTTCAAAACTGAAGCTGTACCTAATGTTCCAGACGCTTGGCACAGACTGCAATTCATGCACTTTGACAATCCAGTGAAAGCCATTCATGTGACAGCTACTTAATTAAAGTAATCATGTGTATATATTAAAAATATTGGACAATAACCACCTTGTCCTTAGCCAAGATAGTAATCTGTCCTTTTTAGAAAGTAATCTGTACCTTGTTTGAAAAAAACAAACATTTATATTTATAATTTGCATCCAATATAAAATGTAGGTGTCTGGTTAATAAATAAAATTACTTTCTGCTCTTACACTGGGATGTGCTCTTAAACAGCACCATATGCTAAACTGAAAAAAAAAATAATTTGAGGGCACAAAAGCTAACATGAGATGGGCTACGGGAATTAAAACGGGCACAGTCATTAAATTACTATGAAGTAAAATGTTAAATGTTATACGTGCATGACACAGAAGGACTGCATGTGTTAGTGTTCTTAGCTCCCCCCGCCTTATTCTGTTGATTTAGACATGTTTCCACTGACTCTTTTTCAATGCTGTAGTGCAGAAAGTTTCCATTTCAACCTAATTAGCCTGACGTTTGCATCTGGTGCACATGTTGAGAGTGACACAAAATATGCAGGCTGGTTGGCCGGGGCAGGATTATAACGTGTACACCTCTAGCCTTCTGTGAAGTGGATGTGGCACAACCTGCAGTATTGACCAGACTATCTAATTTCCTGTTATTAAATACCGACTTGAAAATACCCTTTAAAGCTGACAGCATTCTATTACAGGATTTGAGTCTCGGCTGTAATGTCAGCTTATGCCCCGATATGTCAGGCAACCAAGAGCTTTTGTTAATGCCTCATGCTGAATTTAAATACTGCCTGGGACTTTTCAAATCATGCCTCATTTTGCTACAGTTTTGAGCTCAATAATGGTAGGGGGAAAAAAAAGTCCATGAAGTTATTACCAAGGGTAAAATTAATTATGATGGGAACACTCTCCAGGCTGTGTAAGCACATGGCAATTAAAGATGTCTATGGAAGTGCAGATCACCACTCTGTTGTATACCTATTGTTTTCCTCTTCACATCTGATGAGAGTGCCGAAAAAAAGAACAAAAATGGACTTGTGGTAGCCATGGAAACACTATTGCTGGCTCTGACACACAGTATTTTTTATTACAAGCTGTATGACATTATAAAAAAGGAGACAATTTTTGTTTCTATCTTTTCAGCAACATTTACATCAACATTTACTCATTTGACTGAGGACCTTCCTAACTTTATGTGTAAGTTAAAGTCTCCCTATAAGACTTCAGTAAAGCCTTTCTCCTCCTTGTCCTTCTCTTCTCTTATTTGTCTACCTTTTTTATATCAACCATGTATAATTAATTATAATAGCATTGCATTTGCCTTTCTATTCCAACATGATGTAGTAATTGGACTGATTCAGGGACAATCATCTAGATACATTTTCAATTAACTAAGTTTATCCAAAGAAAAAAGTTTGGGTAATTGTGACTCTTAGCCAGCTTTCCATCATGTCTCTGTCCTAAAACTTTAAGATTTACTTCACTCTGACTTGTTTATGTTCCATGAAAAAGGCAAGTCCACATGGTGTGACTGTGTCTAGAGATTTATGTTGCCACTACAAGAGTAATTCTCCTGCACACTCACACCAGAGTGTATGCATTCTTCATTTTTTCCCTTGGTCATGAAACATTATTTTTCTTCCACAGTTCTAAGGAGCTAAACAAAGTACAAAACATAGTTAAAACATTTAGGAGTTTTCGTCTGGATGTGTATGTGATTCTTGAGTTAATGGATCTCAGTCCACTTTGCCCAAAACAGTTATAATTAATGTACTACATTGAAAAAAGGTTCTAAAGTACCCATTGACTGGCCGAAAATTGCAGTATTATGTTCATTTGGTTGATTAATAATGGAACGAAAGATTATCTACATTAAAGTATTTTCTTTTTTTTCTCTAAATATCA